GTAATCCAAGGAGTGAGATCGTGTCGTAATATCCTTTGAATTCTGCAACTCATCTATAATTGCCTCCTGCTGTTCATTAAGGGGTTCGTTCGAGTGCAAAGATTGAAAGTGGGACGTCCATTTTTCTTCAGAAATTGGAGGGGTGTAGGTTTCCTTCATCTTGTAGTCCATTGACTTCAAACAGTTCCAAAAGCTCTTATTGTTCGAATTCTCGACCGTATTTTCAAGTTCACAAATCTTATTGCTATAGTATTCGTTTCTGTTATGTTTCAAAAGGTTTTTATATTGTTTTAAGACGTTGCGATACTCTTCCCTGAGGGTATTGTTTAGAGGATCTTTATGTTTTTGATTAGAAAGTTTCCGCAGTTCATGTCTTTTATAGCGGCATTCTTTGTCGAACCATTTTTTGTTCGAAGATATTTTGCAACGTCGCTTTTTTGCTGTTTTGATCTTCAAACAGCGTTTGGCGGTTGAAATAAGGATATTTTCTACAGCATGAAGGTTCATGTCAACATTTCTCGTGATTGTTGTAGTATTCATAAAATCGTGGATCATTCTTTGAATCTCTTCAGACTGTAATGTAGCTCTAAATTTTTGTGACGAATCATTTTCCCCAAAAAAACCGTTTTGGTAGAGGAGTCAAAGAATCATTTATAATTGCCTCGTTTGATGAATCATTATCTAAATGACGGTTAACCTTAAGCCATGTTATTATTGGACTATGATCTGATAAACTGTTCGGCTCTTTCACAACAAAAGATGTTATATTTCGTAGCAAATCTTGGTCACATATGGAGTAATCAATGACATTGATTCCCGATTTACCATGAAATGTAAGTCTGCCTAACGAGTCGCCATTAATTCTACCAATTAAAATTCTTAAATCCGCGCTTCTACAAATTTCCAAGAGTCGTTTTCCATGATTATTCAAATCATTGTCAGAACTTTTTCGTTGGGTGGCGCGTAACGAAGATTCAGAAAAATCGTTTGTTATTATCTGATTACCTTCTTGACAAACACTGTCCGGGTGTTTTCCTACTCTGCAGTTAAAGTCTCCCATAATAAGAATTGAACCAAGGGAGGAGAATTTCTCGATGTCGCTTTCAAGCTCTTCAAATAGTTCCACAGACATAAATGTCTTTTGTAGTTTTTGTGTAGCGATTACTAATACTAAAACACGTTCAACAATGCTATGTTAAGTGGTTTTGAACTATATCCTCGTTGGGTGCCCCTGGTCTTTGTCCTTCTCTACGCTGTATAAGCTTACTTTTCCCTTCTTTGCTCAACCTGACTTGCACGTGATTTGAAGTTGTAGCCAATAAAAATCACACAATTTTTCGGGACGGGCGCGGGATACGGGAAAGATAAAAAACCAAGGCAATTTTTGACTCCCAAGAAAACGAAAGGAATGCGCTCCCGAATTTAAGACGCTGGCTGACTACGTCATCCCGCGTAAAAAGTCAAATTTTCTTGTGTTGTCTTCATTTTTACCGGCAATATTTGACTTTTTCGAACTTTTGTTATTGTATGCGGCTCGTGGATCCACAACACTTTGACAATGTTATGATGTCATTTTATCATCAATAAGAGGACAGACGATAAAAAACTGGCGTCAATTTGTTAACTAGAGTACATGGAAACAATTTGGTCAAGTGACGTTGAGTAGTATAGGGCGCACCGAATTAACCTCTTTTTTGGGGGGGAATCTCATTAAGGTGGGGGGGAATAAATTAACGTCGCTGACGTCATAGGCTATTGTCTTGATCTCATAAATAAAATGCGCAGGAATCTCATTAACTTGCGGTGGAATCTCATTAAGTATATCCAGTTTGACGGGTTTATCAATGACGTCATGTGCTATTTTTATCTTGTGGCGGTCATGGTTGGTATAACCGGTTTGACAGGTTAGTTATTTTTGGAAGATGATGTCATATGTATTCCGGGGTACTATGATATCATAGTTGTTTTGATTGGTTGACCGGAATTAGAAAGACGCTCATTGGCTGTCTCGTTTGACGAAGCATTCTGGTTGGTTGCCGTATTTTTATGACTCTGTAATTAATGACATTCAAAAACAAGCTTTGTTTGTAAAAGTAATAAAATTTGTTTATGACTAAATAGTGAGTCAGTGTGTGTTTGTCTCTGTCTTTGTCAAGATGGGACTTTCTCTGTCTTTGCTTCGAGTCGACTTTTCTCTGTATCGCGCACAAGCCAAAACATTGAAAGTGTCTTCAAGTGAAATGGAAATGCTTCAACAAAAAGTTAAAGATATGCCGGGTTCGAGTCTAGAAAAGTTGAAAAAACTCCACTCTGAGGTCTTTTCAAAAGTAAACTGGGGACGATTGGTGGTATTTTTGAACTTCGCGCATCAGCTAGAATTAACCGAGGAGGAATGGGAACTATTATTTAATTTTCTCGTGCCCACTCTCACCCACATTCGAGAGTAGCTATATAAGTAAACACCAAGAGGAAAGAAATCATTCGGGCTTGAACCTTCATA